TCAGCAATATAAATTTGCGGAAAATTGCAAAAAGATTGTTTAAGAAATCAGCGAATTTCACATCACTGGTTTGTAGTGACATTTTTTATGCATGGATTACTAAATAGTGTCCTGAACATTATTTAGAAACAGTTCTCATGAATGATGACCTAACACTGTGTATTTTGTGAGTAAATTTAAACATTATCTCATTACAATAGTTTATGTATACTCATGCCAATAATAAATGTCACCCCTCCCCACCCCAAGCCCACACACACCCCTCACCCCCACACCCAAACCCCCTCTCAATACAAAAAATTATATGATATTATCGATGACACAATTTTCATGCCAGTGATTTTTAATTTTTTTCCCATCAATGATATTAATGGGTATGAACTGACTAATGAGATTAAGATAACAGGGCTGCTGCATTGTTTAATAATTGTTTAATTGTTGTACTCCAAATGAATAGATCAATACTCATGATATTAATCACTGGACTGTCTGGTCCATATTTGATTTTTTTTACTGCCGTCATATTGTTTAGTACAGCATCAGACAACAAAATCTAAAATCTGAACTTTATGTCTGGCAACCTGTCTTGACCACAGCAGAAATATAGTAGACTCACGAAAACTGGATTTGCCTGGAACTGATTGTTAAGTCTTTTTGTCTTATATGAGATTCTATTTGGAGTTATCTCCCTTGACATCAGACCTGCTGGGTTTGAGAACAATTTCCTGCACATACACTGTCTGTATTTTTTAAAACAAGAAATGTTTGTTGCTTGTAATGTTCAACAGAATTTGTCCACAATAGGCTCCCAAACATTTTAATGCATCATGTAATCCCCTTTTCTTGTATTTTGATAGATATTTAACAAATTTTGAAACAGAGATGCGATGTAAATGCTACACGGTGTGGAGTTAACCTACAGATGACATCCCTTGTCAGCTTGCTGATGGGGTTAACCTCTATGGTCATGTGGCGTCTGACAATTTATTACTTCACATAATTTCATACCAAAATATAGATAATAGTTGAAAGAAATATTCTAAATTCAGCTCTAAGATGAACATTTGTTTGTGAATAGTTTGTAGAGAAATTACATGACCTTCGATCAAAGGTAGGAAAAAAACGAATACTGGCATGTTCCAATAAGACATGTCTGGCCAGTCGATGGATTAAAAAAGTTCAGTGGATAGTTACACAAAAACCTTAAGAGGGTAGTCTCTCATGCAGACCCTGAAACGAATGTTTTTCTCCAAATTTGTCTTCCATAGGAATTTGGAATCCTTGAGTGAGTGAGTTATGCTTTATGCCAGTTTTAACAGCATTCCTAGTCTCTTGTACAGACCCTGAAGCAAATATATCCAAGAAAGCCCACACAAGTCTAGTAAATGTGGCAAGTCTAGATTTCCTCAGCTTCTGAAAATGAAGAAGGTCTCAGGGCTCCTTTTCATTATATTTTATATTTTTTTACTATGAACATTTTTCAGTAAAATATGTTCATTTCAGAGACTAGTTGTTAGTCTACAGCATTCCAGAAACATTCATGGTGGGGGACACAAGACATCGGCTTCACACATTGCACCATGTGGGGAATTTTTGTGTGTAATGAACAAACACCTTAACCACTAGGCTACCAGCCGCCCCTTGGAATCCGACGAATTCATGGTAATGCTAACACATTGTATTCCCCTTAATGGACTCACATTTAATCTTTGATATGAAGGTATATGTTACAGAAACAAGCAGTTCTTAAATTTTCTATATAAAATATAATAAAACAAGCCCAGAGACTGAAATACTCTACACTCGCCTCATATACTTGGGCTTTATTGGATATATTTGTTCAAACTTGGGATTTTGTTAATTTCGGAGCTATTTTGACATTTTTACATGTGACATTCACTGCATAATGAAAAATGAGGTATTGAAGGATGTTCTTGTTTACTGATCCTGTAATCAATTACAGTCAAATCCCGAATATTATGCATAACTCGAAGTACCTGTCGGTCCCGACCATTCCCAGTTATAGTTGTCATCATTTGATTTCCGGTTACACAAATTCGTCTCATAAATACACACGATGACTCGAAAAGGAAATTTGGTCCCATGAGATTCAAACAACAGCAATCTTTTATACATAAGCCAAAGTCTGTCAATGAGAAGTTGATTGGTGTAGCAAACTGATCCAATTAACAAACCAGCTCGGCTCACACCTTTCCGCCATTGACGGGTGAGTTGAAAAGGCAGATTAGTGATTTTACGGAAATCACTGTCTGTGCTAATCAGACTGGAACTGATAAAGTGCCCCTATTAGTGATATGGAAATCATTAGATAAACAAATGCTTAGGCGGAGGAATTAGGACTGGATCATCTTTTTTTCTGCCCTCATAGACCTATGTCTCGAATAAATGGATAAGTTGAATTTATTACTTGGCCCCCAGCGATTCGACTCATCGGGATTTAACTGTATATACAAGTGATAGCTTGACCATGTTATCTTTTTAGTTATCAAGATGTTAACATGAATTGGAAAATGTTAAATTTTGGAATTTTCGCACACATTTGTTGCATATTTGGGGTGGACCATTAGGCTCTAATCAGGCGTAGATTACCAAAACAGGTCCAGAGGCAACAAATACCGGGGTCAGAATTCAGATTGGGGAGTGTGAGTCTTTCATTATCCTAAAGTTTTTGTTGAGTATCACTAGTGAAGCAAGTCCTTATTTCTAGGTGTTATTTGTGGATTAGTTGTAATATATGGACCATAGATATGGCCCAGTATTGTCAGAGATCAATGATATTTTGATTTGATTGTAAAATTATATCCTCTGACATTTTAACATTTTGGTGATGCTGTGTACTGAGTGGGTGGTGGTGCTGTGTCTAGTGTAGTCTGTCTCACAGTCCCTGAACCACATTATTTTCCCTACTGCCAAGCCCTATCTGCAGTGCTAAAGCCATAAAATAAAGCAAGTCTAGATTTCCCTCAGGTTCAATCTCTGGTCTCCCTGGGGCTCCTTATCAATTTAAATGGGCTTGTTTGTTACTATCAAAATTATATATATTCAGAGACTAAGCATTAGTCTATGTCTAGTGGTGCTGTGTGCTGAGTGGATGGTGGTGCTGTGTCTAGTGATGCTGTGTGTCTGGTGATGCTGTGGGTGGTGGTGTGTGTCTAATGATGCTGTGTTCTGGGTGGGTGGGTGGTGGTCTGGTGGTGTGTTCTGGGTGGTGGTGGTGTGTCTAGTGATGCTGTGTTCTGGGTGGTGATGGTGTGTCTAGTGATGCTGTGTTCTGGGTGGTGGTGTGTCTAGTGATGCTGTGTTCTGGGTGGTGGTGTGTCTAGTGATGCTGTATGTTCTGGGTGGATGGTGTGTCTAGTGATGCTGTGTTCTGGGTGGATGGTGTGTGTCTAGGATGATGTGTTCTGGGTGGTCCGATGTGTCTGGTGATGCTGTGTTCTGGGTGATTAGTGATGGTGTGTCTAGTGATGCTGTGGTTGTTTTAGGTGGTGATGGTGGTGGTGTATAGTGGTAATGATAATGGGTTTTGAATGTTTGTGTCTATGTGCTGGTTATGTTTTATTTTGGAGGACAGGCTGTGTTTGCTGGCAGGGTGGTGGCTGTGTCTGGTGATGCTGTGGACTGGCTGGATTGGTGTTGCATGTCTTCCTAGTGACTGGTTCTAGGTGGTGGTGTGTCTAGTGATGCTGTGTTCTGGGTGGGTGGTGGTGGTGTGTCTGGTGATGCTGTGTTCTGGGTGGGTGGTGGTGTGTCTAGTGATGCTGTGTTCTGGGTGGTGGTGGTGTGTCTGGTGATGCTGTGTTCTGGGTGGGTGGTGGCTGTGTCTAGTGATGCTGTGTTTCTGGGTGGGGGGTGGTGGTGTGTCTGGTGATGGTTCTGGGTGGTGGTGGTGGTGTCTGGTGATGCTGTGTTCTGGGTGGTGGGTGTGTCTGGTGATGCTGTGTTCTGGGTGGGTGTGGTGGTGTGTGGTGAAGTGGTGCTGTGTTCTGGGTGGATGGTGGTGGTGTGTCTAGTGATGCTGTGTTCTGGGTGGTGTGTGTCCTGGTGTGTCTGTCTGATGCTGTGTTCTGGGTGGATGGTGTGTCTGGTGGTGGTGATGGTGTGTATCTGGGTGGTGGTGCTGTGTCTGGGTGATGCTGTGGGGTGGTGGTGTGTGTCTGGTGATGCTGTGTTCTGGGTGGGTGGTGCTGTGTCTGGTGATGCTGTATTCTGGGTGGATGGTGGTGGTCTGGTGGTGCTGCTGTTCTGGGTGGTGTGGGTGATGGTGTGTGTCTGGTGATGCTGTGTTCTGGGTGGATGGTGGTGTGTCTGGTGATGCTGTATTCTGGGTGGGTGGTGGTGTGTCTGGTGATGCTGTGTTCTGGGTGGATGGTGGTGTGTCTGGTGATGCTGTGTTCTGGGTGGATGGTGGTGTGTCTAGTGATGCTGTATTCTGGGTGGATGGTGGTGTGTCTAGGTGATGCTGTGTTCTGGGTTGGGTGGGTGGTGTGTCTGGTGATGCTGTGTTCTGGGTGGATGGTGGTGTGTCTAGTGATGCTGTGTTCTGGGTGAATGGTGGTGTGTCTGGTGATGCTGTGTTCTGTGGGTGGGTGGTGGTGTGGGTGATGCTGATGCTGTGTTCTGGGTGGATGGTGGTGTGTCTAGTGATGCTGTGTTCTGGGTGGATGGTGGATGGTGGTGTGTCTGGTGATGCTGTGTTCTGGGTGGATGGTGGTGTGTCTAGTGATGCTGTGTTCTGGGTGGGTGATGGTGTGTCTAGTGATACTGTGTTCTGGGTGGATGGTGGTGTGTCTAGTGATGCTGTGTTCTGGGTTGGTGATGGTGTGTCTGGTGATGCTGTGTTCTGGGTGGGTGATGGTGTGTCTGGCGATGCTGTGTTTTGGCTGGGTGGTAATGTGTCTAATGATGCTATTTTCTGGGTTGGCGGCGGTGCTGTGTCTAATGATGCTATTTTCTGAGTGATTGGTAATCCTGGCTTCTCAAAAACATAAACATCCTGTTCCTGAAAACGCTGTGACACAGTTTGTTCTGAGGACAAGAAAACAAAGTGGTTCCGGTTGTGTGCTGGTTGGGCGGTGTTGCTGTGTCTGGGGATGATGTGTGCTGGTTGGTGGTGTTGCTGTGTCTGGGATGATGTGTCCTGGCTGGGTGGTGTTGCTGTGTCTGGGGATGATGTGTACTGGTTGGGTGGTGTTGCTGTGTCTGGGGATGATGTGTGCTGGTTGGGTGGTGTTGCTGTGTCTGGGGATGATGTGTGCTGGTTGGGTGGTGTTGCTGTGTCTGGGGATGATGTGTGCTGGTTGGGTGGTGTTGCTGTGTCTGGGGATGATGTGTGCTGGTTGGGTGGTGTTGCTGTGTCTGGTGGATGCTGTGTGCTGGGTGGGTGGTGTTGCTGTGTCTGGGATGCTGTGTTCTGGGTTGGGTGGTGTTGCTGTGTCTGGTGATGCTGTGCTCTGGGTGGGTGGTGGTGCTGTGTCTGGTGATGATGTGTTCTGGGTGGGTGGTGGTGTGTCTAGTGATGCTGTGTTCTGGGGATGATGTGTGTGTCTGGTGATGCTGGGTGGTTGTGGTGTGCTGTGTCTGGGGATGATGTGTGCTGGTTGGTGTGGTGTTACTGTGTTCTGGGTGGATGTGTCTGGGGATGATGTGTGCTGGTGTGTCTGGTGATGGTGTGCTGGGTGGTGTTGGTCTTGGGATGCTGTGTCTGGGGATGATGTGTTCTGGTTGGGATGGTGTTGCTGTGTCTGGGATGATGTGTGTGGGTTGGGTGGGTGTTGCTGTGTCTGGGGATGATGTGTGTTTGCTGGTTGGGTGGTGTTGCTGTGTCTGGGGATGATGTGTGCTGGGTGGGTGGTGTTGCTGTGTCTGGGGATGATGTGTGCTGGTTGGGCGGTAGTGCTGTGTCTAGTAATGCTTTGTGCTGGTTGGGTGGTGTTGCTGTGTCTGGTAATGCCGTGTTCTGATTGGGTGGTGGTGCTGGCATGTTCTCTACCTATATACAGTATTCCTGAAAATGCTGTAAAAACAATTTGTTATTTCCAGATCAAAATCTGCCTGTCTCATTTTGACACATGACTGATACACATTGTAAAACATCATGCTGTGACACTAGTTTCAAGCAGCAAACAGAAACACATGTAAACCTTACCAAGATATACTTTGTTTACTGCTACTTTGACATCACCCATGCAACTTTGTGCTATTAGTCATACTCTAACTCCTGAGTCTGTTGATCCACCCCTCTGTAAGGACAGAGGTTTCTCCTTTAATGATATCCTGAACATTTCATTATCATTGTCTGGATGTGACTGTCCAGTGATCCAGACCATCAGGATACGATGCTATGTCATTATCAAGTCTAATTTTTAATTTAAAAAATTGGCTTTTTATCAGTAAAAGATGTAACGTGTACTTGAGATGGTCCCCCGTTACGTGTACAAGTGACTACCTGAGAGGGGTTCACACATTCGCGTGACTGCCTGATCCCAGACAGGGAAATTCTACATGTCACACAAAAACGCGTCTTAAAAGTGTTATTTATGAATATAATGAAACAAAATTTGCTACAGTCATTGATAGGTGTTCAAGTTATTGATTGACATGAATGATAACAAAAAAAGAAAACATTAAATAGTCAAATTTTGACAAAAATGTGTAAAATTTAAGCAAATTTGACAATATTGAACAGCGAATTTCAACTATGTGCATATTTTTCAGAAACTTACATTTAGTATTTTCTGAAAGCTCATTCATCGCAGATTCAAAATATATATGCAGCTTTCGAGGCACACCAACGCACACCCGTTTGTTATTGTGTTGAAACATGTTTACTTTCTTCAAAACTGTGCAAACCGTCTCGCGTAGAAGTGACTGGGGAAGCGAGTCATTAAGGGGAGGTAACTGATGCCTGACTAAATAGTTCTGTCAAAATACAAAATGGTTATACATGTGAGTCGCCAGTCCACCTCACTTATTCGAGGTAACAATTATTTAAAAAACTGATTGCTTAATTTATGAAAGTTTTGATATGATTGAATGAAATATATCTTTCATTCATTGCTCACTCAACCATATGACATATTCTATCTGTAGTGGACAAACAGGATGGACAAAAAAGACTGGGCAAAGATCCAAAAGAACTGGGATTATCTGAGGAAGGAACTGGCCGCTGTCTACCTCCTCGATGACCTTAGGTCCTGTTCGGATGATATACTGACTGATGAAGATGAACAGAGGGTGAAATATGAGCCAGTTGATGTTGACAAGAATGAGAGACTGCTGCGTATCTTGAAACACAAACCAGCAAGCCTAAATGCCTATAAATGGTTTCTTGGTGTTGTTAAGAAGCATCAGAAATACATCTATGATCGACTGCAGGAGACAGAGCTGGATGCTAGTGATGTTACAGGTAAGAGTGAGTGAGTGAGCTTAGTTTTACTTCGCTTGTAGCAATATTCCAGCAATATCACGATCAGGGACACCAGAAATGGGCTTCACACATTGTACCCATGTGGGTAATCAAACCTGGGTCCTCAGCGTGATGAGCGATCGCTCTAACCCTACCACCCCTATGTGAAATGGAAATCCACTGGACCGATGAAGCTGAATATTCTTTTGCGTGTTCTCACATTAATGACACCTGTTTTCAGTATGACCATGGAGGTCCATGTGAGGTTATTGAGTTATCTCTTCCATCATCTGTCAATATTTGGCCATAAAACAATTGGGACTTGTCTCTGAAATGTCTTTATGGATGCGGAACCCAATGTTTTATGTTTTGTTTTACTGTACTATGTGTTATTTCTTTTTAATGTACATAGAAGGGACATAATTTGTAAAAACTAATGGAAACATTACAACCGATCCATCATGAAGTTTGGCAAGGATGAAACTGGACTTCTACAGCCAAGTTAACTTCTTTGAGTGGCATTTAGAAGTTGGAAAGTACAACAAAGAGCACACTTTATGGATAACAACTTCTTTTATTTGTGAGTGCGACGTTTTGATACAGATTCTTGTACCGTTGTCAAGCAGGACATTTGTTATCCATAAAGTTTGTTCTATGTTATAGCCAAGTTGACTATCATCCCTTGAGAAAATTGCTGACAAACATCACTCACTCATTGCCAATTTCAATACTGCAGACTAAATCATATTTGCACATCTCTGTTAAAGATGAGCCCAGCTATGACATCAACAGCCAGGTGAGAGAGATCCTTCTGAAGAACTTTGTTGATGAGGCAGGAAAAAGCTGCACCTTGCCTGAAGTGAGGAATGCTGTCCGTGTACTCAGGGGGAGAGGCATCAACTTTGACTGGAAGGATGAAAACTGAAAGAGTTTGTCATTGAGGTCTTCTCGGGAGTTATCTTTGAGCCAGGCAAGAAGAAGAAGGTGTATCCTTATCAAACTGCTGATAGATTTGTTGGAAATGTTTGATTTTCATACTAAAAAGGTGTTATCTGAATTTGTAAAGCTGACATCCTGAAATGTTAATATTAAAAGTTTAAAAAATGTTGAAAATACTGTGAGTTTGAAGAGGTTTTCCTGAGATTAGCTTCTGGGGGAGCTGCATAGACCATTCATTTCCTTGACTCAGAGAGTCCAACATTTTTTAACCTTGGCACAAAAGAAGAGAAGTCAATAGTTCCTGAAGTACCTTCACCACTTGAGGTGCCAACTACTACAGTTCCTGCAGCTACTAGCCCTGGTAGTGGTGAAGAGTGGTGCTGGAGTACAGTCGCCTGGTACCAATAATGGTAAGACCATTACAAATTGACAAATTATGTATGCTCTGGAGTGTAAATGTTCTCAGTTCATAAAATGTATTTTCCTCGGGTCAGTTGTCCATTATGATGACTGTTCCTGGAAGTTGGTTTGGAGTTCCATGCAAAGCTTTTTCATTTAAGTCTTTGAAGCATATAATGTGGTGTTATTCACAGAGAAGAGTTGTGTTTCTGTGTTACTGAAAACCTATGATTGACTTTTGTGAATCAAAGCTTCTGTTGTTTGTCAGGATAATGTCTCTGCTTTGTTACCTTCATGATTGAAATAAATGTCTGAAACCTGCATCATTTTCTCTCATATTAATCTGACATGGTGTGTTATTATTCTGTTCCAAGAGGCATACAAATTCAATTACACCATGACAACAAAGTTTAAATTAACTGTGAGGACCAACTGAGAATCATGCTCTTCTGCATTGTTTTCAGCTTCTAACCATTATTTGTTGCTATTTTCTTTTCAATTCAGAGCCTCCAAGTCACCTCAAAGATATAGAATCACTGACAGTTGATGAACTTATAACATATCTAAAACCAATTTTTAAGAGCCTTGATCTTGATGAAGATTTTGCAGAAAAATTCAGAGCATTAGAGATTGATGGAGTTGTGTTTCTGACAATGAAAGAAGAAGATTTCAAACAGGAATTCTCCAGTAAAGAACTCTCATTTGGGAAGAGACGTAAACTGATGTTAAAAATTAAGGAGATAAAAGAACAAACGACTGAAATTCCAAAGCAGAAGGTTATACTACAAATGGCACCAGGTAGTGTGATGGATAAAGTGGAAATAAGAGCTGGTGCAGTTCCGAGCCAACATTATGTGGGTAGCATATCAGCAGGATCCATTGCTGGATCAATAGCTGGACCTGTTTACAAAGAGCACTTCAGACGGTTTGATTCAGCTGTATCTCCCACAGATCGATACACAAGGGGAAGATTGATGGAAATATCAGGCTACTCTCGAGAGAACATGATCAACCCTGTAAAGAAGTTCCTGCAACTTGAAAATGGTGAGAAGAATGTGTACAGAAGGATTGCCAAAGAAGCAGTGATGTTTGCATCTGCTTGCATGAATGACCGAACCAATGGGACACTGTACGTTGGCATCAATCCGTTGCCTACTGATCTTGGTCAGGGACAAGTTGTTGGAATTCATCTTGACAGAGAGAAGTGTGAAGACACCATCAGGCAACTGATTGGAGAGGCATTTTATGAAGATCAGCAGGAAATTGCATTTCAGGCAGTTCGGTCTGCAAAGTTTATTGAAGTAGCTGATCCTGAGTCACAAGACAGACCACTCTGGGTGTTGGAGGTCGATGTTGTTCCCACTGGGAAGGTTGTGATGGAGGAAGCCTTCTTTGTTCGGGGAAAGATTGTAGGTGGACACAAAACCAAGAAAGAACAGTTGTACAGATTAATTGATGGAACTGTGAAATCGCTTTCTGAAAAAGAAATTTATGATTTCATGAAGAAGAAGAAGAGCATAACAGAACTGAGACTTCAGCAGGAGATCCAATCATCAGCTTCCTATATTCCACCAGATTTGAGGAAGAAGATTCTGAATCTGTTTACAGGTGGCAGTGAAACAATAGAAGATGAAATGTATCCAGTTTTACTGATGAGTCCACTGGATACATCCATGGATCATAGCTATATTGAAGAAAATCTGTCTTTCATCCAGTATTTTGATTCCAAGGCTATATTTGATTTTGATCCAACCAGTGATTCCAATGGGATCTATTCTGTCAATGAAAAGGAGCAAGTTTATGAAGTCCATACAACTGATAACTTTGACAAAAATGCAGAGGAATACTCAGATAAAGTTCTAGAATCTCTAAAGCTGTCAACAGAAAAATCATGGATTTTTTGCAATGGCTACAGTAGACTTTCAAAAGAAGAAATGCAACCATATGATTGGAAACAGAAGAGATTTGAAGGTTTCAAGGAGGCTTTGAGGTTCTTTCATTCAGGCATTCCACTTGGAAGGGGTATGCTATTGATTCTTCTTTTCTCCAAGAACTATGAAGTTCTGCTGGAGGCAGCTGATGAAGTTATTCTGAAGTTTAAGGATCAATGGATGGTTATTGCAGAATCTGAGGAGATAGCCAACTTGTGGATGGAGGAACTGACAAGGCGTCATGTCGCATCAAAGGAGTCTCTTGAGAACAGATGTGTTCTTGGGATGCCATGGAGACATGTCAATACGACATTCACAGACATTATCAATCCAAAACAGGCAGGAACATGTGAGCTGCCAACTTCTTCTGGAGCCTTCTGTACTCTAAAGGAAAAGAACATAACTGAGATGAATGATCTGGAAATACTCAGCAGCACCGAATGTGAAGGAAATGAGGAACTGAAAACAAACAGTCCAGAGAAACATTACGAAGGAGTCTTGAAGTGAAATTCTTCAGAGGAGGACAAGTCCAATGGATGAATTTCTGGTTCAGAGATAATCATGTCTTGAAGAGACATCAACACAAAGATCTCATGAGGGAGGTTGAATATGCTCTTGAAACCCCCAACCGGGATGAAGATTTCCGGGTTAA